TGGTGCCAAGAATGGCGAGACTTATTGACGATGCCGGCGAAAAGTCTGAGAATGTACCACGTCCACGGTCCTACTCTGGAAATGATCATGCATACAATGGACTCCGGAATAGGTGCGTTCCTCTAAGTCTACCTACCAATATCACCAAGTTGCGAAAACAAGATCAAACAACCTCTATACTTTTATTCAAGTTTAAAAATACTTTTTAAAAAGATATAATGTAAGTTAATTCTTTATTTTATCTGTTTACTTTGGTTTTAAATTTTCTTATCGAAAAAGTTCCACAGAAAATGATAATCAAGTAATAAAAAGCAGGAAAATACACTAAGTGAATAAGACTATACATGCCCAAAACTAGCTGTATTCAAAGTCAGCAGTAGGCCTATACAAGAGAGATGATCACCTCATAATGCTTCAGCTTTTAAATATATGCTAGTTTAGATGTAACTAATAAAATGAGATCTTACATCTGTAACATCGGTAAAAATACTTTTTGGTACAGAAATTTGAATAAAAACTTCAACTCGACAAACAAACTTTAAAAATATGGAAAATCTAATCTGAATGTAGGAGCTAAATTACATTAAAGTTCGTTAAATTTACACCAATCGTATAAATTCCACAAAAATTATATATTCTGCACAATCCTATAACATCACGTGCTCACTAAATGAACTGATAATTATTTTGAATAAGGACTGTGCTAACCCTAAGTCGCATAAGATAACAAAGCATAGATTCATTAATTTCTCAACGATATGAATAGTCTATAAGATGTCAATAAATTTCCCTCAATCCTCCTATACCTCAACAGACATTCTCATTCAGAATGGATTGTAGTTTCGACCTCACCGATATCTCACCAGCCCATCTAACGAGAATCGAAAATTAAACGTGAGTGTAAAATGGCGACACATTAAATTTATGCCATACATGCACAATACAGCAGAAAATGGAGAGAAATGTCTAAGCATAAATTGGCAGACTAAAGCTAAGCACGCAGGAACCAAACTCGATGGAAATTGCCTCAGGGACAGCGGTGACCAGGAAATTCCAACAGAGAGCTGGCCAAAAGAAATCGACTGTCGCCTTCTGGTGTAATCGGCGTTCATATCTCTTCATCACACATTCACTCAATTATAAGTCAGCCGAGTTACAACACAGTGAATACTAGGGCTATTTTTGAATAGAATTATACGCCCTACGTCTTCCTTGAGTTTAAGTCTATCAGATAACATAGCAGAAATATTTATGAATTGGGTGGGACTATTTAAACTAATCTGAGATTCATGAGCTACTGCTTTTGCTCGCTATAATGAGACCAAATAGAAGTGGAAACTGCATTCACGGTGGATGAAAATCTGATTTGAGGATAGAACAAGCGATGCAAATGGACTGAATAGGCATATATTAATTCCAGAAGTATCTTACGCCTAACGGTGCGTCTTCACATATAATAAAGATGATGTTTTATATTCGATAATTTGATTACTTTATAGGCTGTGTACGCATGATAATGTAAATGAGGGTACTATCTATAGAATAAGTGGGACAAAGAAATGAACAAAGGGCAATACAACAGTTAAAAACAGATCTAACCTTTAAGGCGAAACGATAAGCTTTCAACACACACCGATACCAGCCCAAAGTAGAACCCTTAACAAGTGAGTCATCTGCCCCAGAGACGCAAGTCGTCGCTGGAAGCTGTGGTGCTTTATTGCTAATTTGGGGCTGCAGGCTGCAGCTGGAGGCCCTGGTAATGGATATTGAAGACGCAAAAGAAATAGATGTGGAGGAAATGCGGGTGCGAGAGGAAGGCGCGCGGTTCGAGCAAGCAGAAAGGCTTAATACACTACGAACCAGGCACCAAGCAGCGGTCGAGAGACAGTGCAATAGGTATCGTAGAGGACGAAGTTGCTTTCCAGCGTCCGACTGTAGAAGTAACGAAAGTTGCTGCCCTCCAGACAAACCGTTGCAGCTGCTAGAAGTGGAGATAGTCAAATTATGCATAAAGAAGAACTGGTGTTCCGTAAAAAAACGGTAGAGCCTCAAGGTACAGGATAGCTGGGATGTAGAACAAGCAGATGCTCTAAGAAAAAGGTAAATGAAAATGGCAAACAAAATATTTGCTAAAAACGATAAAAGTAATTTTTCGTATGTAAGTAGAGTTTATACTACCATCATCTTAAACGGAACAGGGTGAATACATCTCAGATAAAAGTCATGTTGGAGTACTTTTCATTTCGTTTTCAAAGGTGGATGAAAAGAGTTCCTAAATAGGCCTCACCGGAAGCTGCAGGAGTATTGCCTTGGAGCTGTTATTGTATATTTAACTAATAGGTCCACGGCACACTGCTCTGCGACCCCGATGAATTTTTGCTGATTCGTCGTGCGTCATGTGAATGACATCGTTATAGCAGAACACCATGTTATACGATACTTAACCAAAATACGAATACAAGAAAGGTGTATTGGCGTTTTGACAAATTATTGTTAAGCATGATGTCCTGCTTTGACGGGGTCCATAAAAGTTCAAAAAGAAGTCATCAGGATCGCAGAGCAGTGCGCCGAGCGCCCATTCGCACACATCTAGTCACAGCTCCAAGGTGATCCCCCTACAGATTCCGATGATGTCAACATAAGAATCCCTTAAACTCGCCTCTTCGGACGAAATGAAAGGTATTTCACTCGTATATCAAGCGATTCTTTGAGACCTAGTTTTTATACATACCTACATAATAAAAGTTCACACTTGTACAAATGAGGATATTCAAAGTGGTAGGGTAATATGAAGAGCAGTTTAACTAAACCTGGAACAAAAGAAGTATTCCATTTAATGGCAGCATGGACCAGCTGATATTCTGTGAACCTGGAATCTCCCCTACAAAGAACACAAGCACAACGCGCATGCTACGGAACGCAAAAAATAATGAAATTTAGCTTGCATAAGGACCAACAGGCCATAGCAGTATACAGAATAAAGGCTTTATGTTAATAAATAAAAATTTATAAATTGTAAAGGAAGAAGTAAGAGGCACTAATCAATTTAGTCATTTATTTTTAAGGTAGCTTATCAAGAGATGTGTACTCTTACGGCATAAATGTAAAATGTATGCATACATAAACTTTGTATAATGTATTGGAAGAGTATTAAGAGCTTTTAAAAATACCTTGCAATAAAAGGTTTAAGAAAAGAGGCTTGGTTACATAGTGGAAAAATTCGGGGGTGTATTGAAGCATGTGCGGAAATTCACTCTACTAAAGGAAAGATATGTTCCACAGATCAGTCAATAATAAAGAAATTTTAAATTTCTTAAAACTCTGGGTAAAAGATTATGTGTAGTGGTGAGTTATAATTTAGTATATAAGAAGAAAAAGCGAATTTTAATTAATCTCCTTAGATAACATTGGTATGAGCCAATTTAAACTAGTGTTAACATGAAACTTTTGCTTGAATAAGTCTCAGCTCTAATGACGTTCGTCACACGACGAACGAAGGAGTGTCTCGTAGGCTGCATCAACCTGAATGTCGCATAAAAGCCAAACGACTGTAGGGCAGCGGGAATCGTCTTCTGATGAGATTGACCTACGAACCTCTTCATCATGCAGTTTCTTAAGAAATGAAAGTCTCCACAATAATGTTATTGTGTAGTGGAAATAATGGCAAGGGCCACTGGCAATAGAGAATCAACTGTCAAAAACGTCTGAAAATGTACTCAGTCCACAGTCCGAGGTTGGAAATTATCATGACTACCATGATTAAGAGCAAGGATCGTTCGCATAGGTCTCTCTGACAACACAAACAAGTTAAAAAAACAAGGTAAAACGAGATGTATTCACCTAATTTCGTTTAAGGAGATGAAGGAGTGGTAGAATAATTTTCCCACATGATATGA